GCTGCTGCAGCACCTCCTGCTGCAGCACATGCTGCTGCTGCTGCTGCTGCGGTGGCGGCGATTGCTGCTCTGTCGTTCGTGCTGAGGGTCTTTCGCAGCAGCACCTGCCCTACAGCAGAGCAGCAGGCGCCGCAGCAGCAGAGGCAGACACCCAGTAACAAAGAACCCGACATTGCTGCTGCTGCTGCTGCTGTTGCTGCTGCTGCTGCTGCTGTTGCTGCTGCTGTTGCTGCTGCTGATGCTGGTGCTGGTGCTGCTACGTGTGCTGCCGGTGCTGCTGCTGCTTCTGCTGCTGTTGGGGGCTCATCTGCACAGCGCGCCAGCTAGCAAGTGTCTTGCTGCTGCTGCTGCTGCTGCTGCTGCTGCTGCTGCTGCTGCAGCAGTAGCAGCAGCAGCTGCTGCAGCGAAGGCTCCAAACTGTGCTGGGTTCTGATGTGCGTGGTTGCTACTGAAATCCTGGTATTGTTGCTGCTGCTGTTGTTCCTGCTGCTGCTGCTGCTGCTGCTGCTGCTCGTGCAGGGTGGTGGCTGTACACCGCAGCACTCTGCTGCTGCTGCACCCCCCCTTTTTGGGTGAAATTAAAATTTAATTTTTATTAAAGCGATGGAATCCTCAAAAGACAAACAAAAACACCAAATGCTGGGGCTGCAGCAGCAGCAGCAGCAGCAGCTGCTGCTGTTGCTGCTGCTGCAGCAGGGGACCGGACCAGACCGCTGCTACTTGTTGCGGGTTGTATTTATTTTTTTTTTTATTTAATTTATTTTATTTAATATTTTTTAATATTTTATTAGTTATATACAAACATTGGCTTACATCGCCTACACAACGAATGCAGCAGCAAACGCAGCAGCAGCAACAGCAGCAGCAGCAGTTGCAGCAGCAGCAACAGCAGCAGCATCGACGTTACTTGTGGCAGTACACACAGCCAAAGAAGCCGCTGCCACAGAACAGCAGCAGCAGCAGCAGCAGCAGCAACAAGAACAGCAGCAGCAACAGCAGCAACCAACAACAGCAACCAACAGCAGCAGAAACAACAAACAACAGCAGCAGCAGCAACAGCAGCAACAGCAGCAGCAGCAGCAACAGCAGCAGCAACAGCTACAGCAACAGCAGCAACAGCAGCAGCAGCAACAGCAGCATCAAGGAAACACATACACGCTGCAGCAGCAGCACAAGCTGCTGCTGTTGCTGCAGCTGCTC